GCCTATAAGAAAAGTGGAGAGGGACTTTCTACAGGGGCACATAGTTGTAGGAAAAGGAGAAATGGCTTTAGACTGAAAGAAGATAGGTTTAGATTACATATTAGGAAGAAACATACTGACTTTGGTGGGGCACTGGAACAGGCTGCCCAGGGAAGCTGTGGATGCCTCATCCATGGCAGTGTTCAAAGCTAAGCTGGATGGGGATCTGAGCAACCTGGTGCAGTGAGTGGTGTCTCTGCCCATGGCAGGTGAGCTGGAGGTGATCTATAAGAGTCCTTCCAATCCAAATCATTCTATGATCTTACAGTGCTCTTCAGGTTGGGAGACTGCATCCCTTTGCTGGGTTTTAGCCCATCACAGTGTAATGAGACTGTGCCTGTACCACCCTGTGTGCCCTGAGCCCAGCTCTTTTCTGGGGAAGGGTCTTCCAGAGAGGCAAATCCGAGATGGAAAGTGAGTTTCTGCACCAGAGTCTGCACTGTTTATGTATGAGCAATGCTGATGTCATTTCCAGGGTGACTGAATTAGCTTGTGCCACCAGAAATCCAAGGTGTGACATAAAGGCTGCTTTGCTTTCCTGCTTGTGATCATGTGGGCTCTGTGAGACTGATGAGGTGCATAGCCTGCATTCATAAAGTGTAGGGAAAGCATACAGGCACTGGTTTATGGCCAGTGGTGGTCAGTATTTGCTGGGCTGGGCTGCTGATTGATTAAAATTGCATTTCATGCAGAGGCCAGGACTTTCTAGCTGAATTGTTTTGGCCACCATAGAGCACCATATTTCTATATCTGACCATATATTTATATATATGTAGATATATTGAGATATATGTACACACACACACACACACACATATTTATAAGTATATAACTTATTGGGCCAAACTGCTCCTCTTGTGCAAGACATTTCAAGGAGAGATTGTTCTCCAACTTGTAAAGCCCATGTTGGATTATCTGCAGATCTTGATAAGCTCAGTTTTCCCTGTGTTTCTAGCACCAATCCCACTGCTTTGGGAAATCCACCAGTTTAATGTCATTTGCCAGGTGAATTTGAGATTCATTAATGCACTGTCTATTTCTGTGGTTGTATAGGTTTCTGTAAAGACCACCAGGTAGCCCAGATTTTGTTGGATTTATCTCAGTTGCTATATACTTCCCAAAGAGCCTCTGTTGAGCTGGATTGATTCTAGGGCTCCTCAAGAGGAATGAGGAGTGCCACATCTGGCTAATAATTTGCTGTAGCCAACATAGGAGTTTACTTCAATAAGAGCAGGATTTTTGCTCATGGATCAAACATCAAAGGATTCTTACATAATGCAGTATCTTTTAACATTGGTAAAGTATTAGATCATAATCATGTAGTGCTCTGATATATTTTATTACTCTATTTTATTTCTGAATGCAGTTTACCTCAACTCAAATGATTCCCTAGCCTTGTAGAAAACAGTAATACAGGTGACTTACGGTGAATCTTGGTTGGATAGCTCTGGATTTTTCCTGCCCCCTAAGCAGCAGCAGCAGCATCCCAAGCAGGTGCAGCCAACTTTCTCGATTCCTTGTCTCTATCACATCTCTCAGGTGGCTGTGAGACTCCGAGAGCCGAGGAGAGAGGAGGACTCTGGCAGGTGGGGTTGAGCTCGCCAAGGGCTGGGCTGGGCAAGCAGGTGGGCCCTGGATGAGCAAATCCCGCTGTCTGGCATCCCATACCCCCTTCAGTCGGTCACCCCAGAGGGCAGTGGGAGGCATCATTCTTTACTGAGTGCTTTTGCTGAGAAAATGCAAGTATTGAAACAGACTTTGGTGAGGAATTTACAGCTCCTGCCAGCATGATGTTTTTATGTGTTGTGTACAGCAAGGGTCTGCTTTTACGTTTCCCTGTGGGGCATCCAGGACAGATACATAGGTATAATTTTTCTACTTAATTGAGATTTTCTGTTGGTTTCTGTTGCCTGTTTTTTACCTCCTTCTTCAAAAATGTAGCATGCTTGGTTCCCTATATGAAGCTCATTTTTCTAGGCAATAATTAGATTTTCAGATTTCAAATATTTTAACTACTTATTCTGCACTGAAAGCTGGCACATAGGGAGCAGAATAGAAAGTTTGAAAGTGTGGAGGACATTTCATCCTAGGTTTATGTAGGGATAAATCCTCTCCAGCTCCATGCTTTATGGCATTACCCGCTTGGAGAAGCCAGGGCTGCAGGTTTCTGAGCATCCTCCTGAGAGCAAGGCTGCCGTTTGTCAACATTTGCACCAGCACGAGCAGTGAAGGCTTTTACAGCAAAACCCCACTGATCATCTCTGGTTGTGCCCCTCACCACCCCTCCCTAGGCTTCCAGGGGATCTGTCTTTCCTGTCACTCAGGATAACCATTCCCCACCAGCAGCACAGAGATCCACAAATGCGCTGTAATCTCACCGAGAGTTTGATTCCCCAGCTGGGAGTGCTGGGTTTATACAGCCAAGCAGTAGATGGTCCTTGCACTTAAACTTGTGTGTGGGTGTGCTAAACCTCTAAATGGGCTGAAGGGTCTCTCTTTGTCTGGAAATAACCTTGATTCTTGGAGTGGTGAAATCTGTGGATTTCATTGCATATACTGGTTAAGATTTAACTTGATCTAGCTGTTCAGTTTTAAAAGATTTCTTTTTTTTTTTTTAAGAGTGGATTAATAATTCATTCCCAAATTGGTAGTTAGCACAATGGATATTTAATTGTAAATGTATATCTTTAATTAAAACTTGGTACACAGATGCAAAAATTCCTTATCTTGCAGTTTTTCAAAAGCACACATATTAAACCACAGCCTTGCCCTTCAAAAATACTGTTCTGTGTATTTAAAGGTCTGAATGACCTTTTAATCAGACGTTACACCTTTACTTCCAGCTGATATGACAGCGTCTGACAGTAACTCAACCTGATGTGGCAAGAAAATAAATAAAAGCTGTCTCAGTCACTATGTCTTTAAATCTCTCTGTCTAGCTGTGGTTTTGTGTTCAGGCAGATGGACCCACAGCAGAATATTACATTTAGTTTTCAAGTGAAGACAATTGAGTTTAATATGTTTGCATGTTTGACTGTTCTTCTGAGGTCAATTTAGTCATATGATTGTTTCCTGCCATTCTGAACTCCAGCCTCTTCTGCAGCCAAGCTCTTTATAAATTATAAATCTGTAAACCTCGCTCTCAGCAGCCATCTTACAGCCCACACAGACCGCTGTGGATGGTCTAGAAATTGCATTAGCTCTCCTCGGTGTACCTGGGTGCGAGGCTGCCGTGCTCTGTCGCTACGTGTGCTTATGCTCACCTCGTGTAAACAGGCAGAACAGGGACTGGTAAAGATGGATATGAGCAATTCCTACTTTTGCACCACCAACACAAAGAGAACTCACACTAGTCAGGGTGATTGTATTCAACACACCAGCTTATTGTCCTTGGAAGTTAATTTTCAGATGATTTATTGAAGTGTAACATTTGTGGAGGGGGAGTGGATATTGAATTGACAACAGGTCAGAGTTCTGATAATACAGCAGAATTATTTTGATCTCTGGTATTTCCAAGTGCTGAAGCAATAAACATAACAATAACAGCTCCCCTTTCATATGGCTTTTACAAAAAGAGAAGCTGTGTACTGCTTGAGCCTGTTTATCACAAACTGGGCTAATTATTCAACAAAAAATACATGCCATACTAACGAGCAGTTCCCTGGAATTCAGAAAGTAATATTGTGACACTCAGTACAATGCACGTGTACACTGCAGGGTCCATAGTTTGTTGGATTTTTTTGGAAAAACTTGGAAAACATTAAAAGGGTCTTCCCTGAAACAAAAATGAAATAGTTATTTCAAAAAGAGACATGTACTTAAATGTGTCACCAGCAACATCCATGAGAACTTCTTTGTTACAAGTATTTATTTGCAAATTTCCAGGGTTTTGCTTTTAGGAGAATTTTTTTCAGAGATAGCACTACTGTTTTGTGGGTAGTTCTTAATGAAACAGGTACTTGTGAGCTGGGACAGAGTGACAGTGTCATGTTTGGGCTCACTCTCCCCTCCCTGGACAGCGTAGTCATTACTTCTGGAGGTTGCATGGGTTCAAGAGCACTTTCATCATCTTTTGACTGAAGGAAATTGAGGATGAGAATTACCTTGCAGAAATGACACAGCCCTTGCAGGCTAAGCCCCTTCATGTAGCTTGTACTTTAAAGCTGTGAAGGGAATTTGCACTACTCAAATGTGTATGGAGGAACCTGGATGCAAGTGGATATCATTTTCAGGGTGCAGCAGATGGGGGAAAGAGGGGTGTAGTAGCTCTGTTTACACAGGACTGTTTCTCTGTAAGCCAAGGTCCTGCACGTGTGTGAAAGAAAGGACAGGGGCAGTCTGGGCAGCACCCTTAAGTCAGCAGGGTGATTGGTTACCTCACTGGAATGAAGTCATGGATGTGTTTTCAGTTCTTTCTGCATTGCAACCTAAATGTGGAACAAGGTGAGGTTTGAAAATGCCAGCCTCTCCTCCTAAGGTGTCTGAAGACACAGCACACTTTCCTAGTGACAGAGCAGGGCCTTTGCCACTCCCCTGTCATGAGCGTGGTCTTGCCAAAGTGTCTGTTTAACCCACAACCCCACCAAGCCATAACTGCATGCTCAGTATGCCAGCTCAAGGCAGAAACCTTTGTACAACCATGTGGTTATTCTAAAAGCACTGTCTGTTTTCCAGATATTTTTTCTAGCAATGTTTACATTTCCATTACTACCTTGTTAACAAACTAAGGAGAAGACACATGTTAGGTGTGTTACATACTGAGTATGATGTATTGCGTGTGATCCTAAAATGGTGTGTGTTTCGAGAAGAATGTTTCTGTTAATTGTCAAGCAATGGGAGGCATCATGTTGTTCCTAGATAACTGAAAGTATGCCTAAAATGTAAAGGAAAAGAACAACTAGAACTCGAGTATGCCAATGCCACAAAAGAAAGCTTAACTTGTTTTCTTGCTTTTTTTTTAGAGAGCACCTGTTCCCAGCGCTGAAGCATTCCGATGGTTCTTTTAAGCAGTAGTGTATCTTATTTTCGAGGCAGTCCGAAGTGAATGGCAAGCTAAAGTCTTGTTTTAAGAAACTGCTTAGTCCACCATTGAAGAATATACTCAGATACTATTTTCCTTTATGTATAGGGGTTTCCTCAAAAGCAAAAGACAAAAATCTGTGAGCCTGGGGAATTGGCCAGCTTCTTCACATTCAGTACACCAATTCTTTCTTTGATGTAACTTAGCTATACTAGTGAAGTTGTTGTCTATTTTTAAAGTGGCTGTAAAAAAAAAAAAGTTTGGGTAAACCCCTGCTATAAAGTTATGTATCTTTGAAAAGTAACATATCTATACTTCATTTTCAAATATATGTGTTTCAGTACTGTAAACTGTACAGATAGCCGCTTGTATTTTGTGTGTTTAGACACAAGGAGACAATCATGTCTGAGCATCAATGGAGATAAACGGTTTGTACACAACAGTGTGGTTCTGCAAATTAAATCCGGAGCAATAAATTCTAGCTTTAACTATTATTTTGCTAGTTGTTTAGCAGCAGCAACAGCAGCACTGTTTTACCATGCATCCTTCCATAGAAACTTGATGCCAAGTTTTCCAAGATAAAAAGATTATGACACATCTAGCAATTACCTTCTGTTGTGGTGTTGTGAGAGGGGAAGACGTAACACTTAAAATTAATCCTTCAAGCACTATATTAGAATAGTGGTTTGTGCACTTGCATTGCTTCCAAAAGAGCTTTACAGAGGGGTAGCTCTCAAAAAATGCTGTCTGGTGTCTGACTTATTTTTTCACTGTGCCCAGCATAGGCAAATGTGCAAAACTAGTCATTTAAAGAAAGTTTGTTCTAGGATACAAACCAGAGTATGAGACCCTAGGAAAAATGGTGACTCAGCTTAATTACCCTTCACCTACAAGATCTTATGTAACGTTTTCAGTCAATGGAGTAAATATTTTATAAAGTGGAATGCCATATTTTTGGTTCTGGGGGAGCTCTTCACAGTTAAGTGAGTTTTGACAGTTGGACTGGTTTAGGTCTCACTTGCATTTGTGCTCATTTTAGAGCCTGGATATTTTTGTGGTATACAATAATTTTTTTTTTTTTAATGCTTTTAGAAAAAGACCATTTCTCCCCACATGTTTCTTGGCCCACTGATCTCAGCTTTGCCGAATAACTGATCCCTTAAGCCCTTACAAAAATGCTTTGCTATTCTTCTTCCTGTTCTAGCTGTATGGAAGAAATGTCTACTACATGGAAAGGCGGCACACAGAGGGATATAGCTGACATGCCATAAAAAATATGGAGGATTCTTTATTTAGGGATACTTATTATCAGTTGATCATCACTTTTTATCACTTGGCTTTGTCATACCACTCACAAGTGAGAAGGCCATGCCACCAAAGTAAGTGAATGCTGTTGTTCCATGTATTTGATAGATTTATAATTTTATACAAGATAGGCCTACCAGTAGTTTAACAAACAAGGTGCTGGGCATGGAAATAACGAGTTAATGTTGCACAGCACATGTAAATCTCCTACTGTTTTGGCACTTTCTTCCAGTTTTTGCTATGTACTTCAGCCTTTGGCCCCTGGTCACACTTACTTGATGAAGCACGAGGGATGGGTTGGGAATGCTCCAGTGTGGGACCTGTGCAGGTGGGGAAGATGCCAGCTTTGGCAAGTAGGGCGGGCAGGGAACAGCCCAGAAAGTGAGGCAGAGGAACCTCCTGAAGTCGCATGTGTGTGTCAGCAGGACCGGGCAGAGCGTGGGTGACCCAGGGTAACTGGAGGGCACAGTTGGGCTGGGCTTCCACCTGCATCCTCAGCTCAGGGTCAGTGCATGTGTCTTTGCGTTGTATGATGTCGCATACATGCCTTCAGAGGTGGAATGTCACTCTTAAAATGCTTCTATCACAGTGCCCCTTTTACAGCTTGTGAGATCCTCAGCTGAATACTCATCCAATGCCCATTCAATTAGCTTTGTGTCTGTTTTTAGGGCAGCCGTGTATGGATTTTTTTTTGTGTTGGAGACTTTTTGGTTAGGGGCCTCTGTTACTGATCACTAGACCAATATGAGCTCTGCAAGGTCTTCTCTACCAAAGTGCTGATTGACTTACAAACTGAAGCCTTATTTGCACATCTGGCTGGTAAGCTTGCCTTGCTCTTTGGAAGACTTTCATTGCTCTTACAGAAACAGAGGCAAAATTAAGTTCAGGCTACATTAGGTGTACAAAGACACTCATAGCAATGTACTTACTGTCTAATACCCTAATGTTGCATGTCTTGTTGTGGTTCCTTTTTTTGTTTTATTGTTTTGTTTTAAAGAACTAATGGATCTGTATATTGTAATTGTGGTGTTTTACATGTCAATCCAAAATTGTTAAACACACAAACAAGCATCCCTGTTAGGTATTGAAAATTAACAAGAGGTGAATTTTCTTTGATTTATCCTTATGAGTTTAATTTCATATGTTGTTCCTTTGCACCATCAGGTTTTTAGACTCTGCTGAAACAGTATTTAATATGATGTTGCGTGCATAGAGCATTTTAATTAGTGATGTTTGAAGACGGAAATCCATTTTCTGGCCTGTCTCTCCTCACTGCCCTCCCCAACCCTCCCCATTTATATACATATTTGTCAATCAGGTTATTGTCAAGTTCTAATTACCAAATTTGTGTTTTTCACAAGGTCCAAGACTGTTTTCCAGTGTGAAAAATTGTATTCTTCTCCATTCTTCATTCTCACAGTGAAAGTTAAAAAAAATGGGTATGGGAAAAAAAAAAAAGCAGAACTCTTTCTGTCTTCTAGGTGTGAGCACTAAGCCTAGTGGAAGCATTTTTGGCATACCCCAGATAAACTTATGAAAAATGGTAAGCTTGAAAGGGAGGCACATGTACTCATTCTGTCAATTAATAACAGACCCTCCCTATGAGGGAAAATACTCCCTTTTGTACAGACCCCCTGGTATGTAAGTCCTACAATTAATGTTGAAGAATGTAAAGTCTTTAAATGGGCTATATCTGTAATCAAATAATGAAGAAAGAAAGTAGTTAAATGAACATACCATTCAGGGTCGAATGCATTCAGCAAAAAGCAGTAGTGGGTCTTTGATCATGGTTAGATGCATAGTGATATCAAACAGTGGGTTCTCATGTAACAGCTAAATGTTTCAGATTTTGTTTTTATTAAATTTGGCAGTTTCACGCTGAGCTCTACTGTATTCTTAGTGAACAAAAGACAGCTCCTATGTTAGAAAGTACTCCATTTTCACAATTGCAGGGAACTAGGAGGGTATTTTCAGAAACATGGGCCACAAAAATGTACTCCTTTCACAGTGTTCTCCTATTTCTGAACTGTGCAGTTATCTATTAAATTTTCTAATAGATATTTGTGTAAGGTGTATGTATGCTTGTGCAATTATGGAAAAAAACAGTTTTGGAAAACAGTGTATTTATGAAAAAATAATCACTTATGGGGCATGTACAAAACTGTATAAAAACACACAATTTGCCCAGTAAAGTTGTTTTTGTGATATTTCTGTGTTGTTGAATAAAGGACTTTAGTATTCAAAATATCTCTCTTTTTCCATAAACAGGTCCTGTTTGTGGGATCTTAAGCAAAGAAAACCTTTTACAAAGAACCCTCAAAATGAGCGAGAAGGTCCAAATGCTGACCTCAGTCTTGCGTATGGGAATGAATGCTTATGAAGTGATGGTACAATAGCCACAGAGCTTATTCCTTCTCAATTGGCAATTGTTGTTTGATGAACCCCATAAGTTGTATAATTGAAGGTAACATTGTACTCTGGATTTTTTTAAATAGCAGAAAAAAATACTGCCTTTTCTTCTACTAGGAATGTTACTTTGAGATTTTGAGGCTCTGAAAGGTTAGTGAAGTAAGAGCAAGACTAATTACAGAACAGCCTTGAACCCATTAATGCAGACCTGTGTTGTATAAAAAGAGTGGACTAGTGATAAATTAGCAGTTAGCTTTGTATGAAGAAGCATGCAAAGGTGGATGTAGCTCTTGCAACAAACAGTAGTCCTGAGGATAGATCATCCTGTTGCTGTTGAAATACTTGGAATTACAAATACGGTTTGTGAGAGAATGACAACATTGTCTTCTTTTCTGTTTTACTGCTTCTCAGTTCAAAGTTCAGCTCTCTACCTGTCTCAAAAAATATACCTAGCTAAGGAAATGTTTTCTTCTTGACATTTTGTTTCCCCATACTACTTGCCAGCGTTGAAGCAACTTCAGATAGGTGGGAAGGTTCGTGACAGGCACGTCATCTGATTTTGGTGAAATTTGGAACGTCATTTTTCTGTGAATATTCCTTTAATCAACAGAAAGTCTGCTCTTAGGTGCCAAAAGAGAATTTTGAATGAGTTTGAAAAATGAGGTAGGTCCTTTAGTCTGTGAGATGCCTTCAATGCTAGCTGATTTTCCAGGGGGAGCCTTGGTGTATCCTTTTGTTTTTTCAAGAAAGCAACAAAAGAAAAAGGAACAGAAGTGGATTTTCCACTGATCCTGTCTGCTCTCATCGAAATCCATAAGGATATATGTTCTTGGGAGACGCAGACCGCTCATTAGACAAGAGTGAATCTTGAGGTCTGTTTGAAGAGGAGGAAAAGGGCTGCCAGGTTGCTCAGGCATACTCAGTGATCTCTCTGGATTAAATATAGAATTCACAGGGAGGAAATACACTCATTTCATGAGACGGTCGATTTGGAAGCAGGAAGAGGTCTCTGAGTTCCTATTCTTTTAATGCTTTCTCTTTCAACATTTTTTTCCCCTCAAGTATTGTTTTATAGCGGTCTGAATGAAAAATGTCCCTCAGCTCTGAAGAAATACTCGGCCCAGATATGAACCTTGCAGTTTAAAACTACCTCTAGTTTTTTATAGCTTTTATTTTTAATTAAAAAAACCAAAACAGCAAAACAACAAAACCAAGCAACTAAAAGTAAAAACCCAGTCAAGAAGCAGGTAATTCTTCAAAGTCAATGACAAACTTATTACTGATTCTATTAAAGGAAGGAAAATACCCTTTTGTGTGCAAACTCAATTCTTCTAGGCTGTGTTTGGCTCAATTTGGTATTGCCACTAGCCATGTCAATGCTGTCTTATATATTTCCAAGGAACAAGTCTGAAATTATGAACGGTCTAGTGATACAGGGCAGTGTGCCTTCTGGGAGGCTCCAGTTCTCCCCATGTTCCCGTGGGTTTTACCAGATAGCTCATGGAATTGGATGATATTATATAGGTGGCTTGGTTATAAGTTTGATCTTACTTCACTGTAAGGATCTTCTCAGTTACCAGTGTGCACTGAGCATGGATAGATGGCCCCAAAATCTATAAAGGAAAGACATTCTTCTTCTCAGTAATAACTGCAGAACATACAATGATCTTTGAAACCACTGTATCTATCTGAGGAAAGATGAAGTGCTGTAGGATCTGCTCCCCCTGTGGGTTTGTCTTGGTTTGCCATTTGGCTTTTAGGGTGGATACACTCAGCTGGGTCGCTGGGTGCTTCAGCAGAGCCATTTTGCCCAAGGCAGGCAGAATGAAGGAAACACAGGTAGCAAAATGTTATTCTTGCAAGACAAGGATCTAGATTGCCTAAAGAAGCTGTGATGTTCTGGAAGACTTTCACGGCTCTTGTAAGTTCTCAGATGATATTAAAGGATTGTTACATTATTAGTGATCAGGAAGAATTTGTCATCACCCACTAGGTTTTAGAAGTCAGCCTTGATAGGTTAATTTCCCAGCCAACTCTGAAGGTGCTTCTTAGTGCAATGTGACTTCCCTATAACAGAAGATGCTGTGACAGTGGGTTGATTAGCCTGTATAGGGCCCTGACTTGCAGAGTCAAGGATATTTGATAGAAAATAATTCAGAATTCTGGTAGAAGGATCTGCAGGTGTCATGATGTCAGCCAGAGCCTGGATTAATTGTTCAGTGAAGTTCTCCCCAGCTTAGTTTATGATGTGTATAAGCATCCTACATTTGAGAAGAAAGCACCTTTCTTCCTTTGCTCCTTTAAGTTTGCTGTCTTTACAGAGTTAATAAGACTAACCCTCTGCACTTCTTCAGGAAAGCCCAAAGCATTAAAAGAATACATCTCTTTTTGGCTAGACATTTTCCTTTGGCAAAAGAAAGTGTTAGTCTAGGTCAGAAATTCCTGGTGCTTACTCAAATCTCCTAACAGGGGTTTCTCTGCTTTGGAGGAGCAGAGTCCATACATCAGCTTGGCAACTGGTCACAATCCTAAAGCAGACAGGAGCCAGTGGGCAATGTTCCCACTGCCCTCTCCCTGGTACGTGTGACACACACAAGTTTGTGCCAGGTGTCCAACACCCTTTCTGTGCAGGGGGTCAGGTTTGCTGTGCCTAGCAGAGAGGTGAACTTCCCCAGAAATTAGCAGTCTGTAGCATGCTGGAGGTGTTTAAGAAAAGAAAGTTTTTACATGTCCAAAGAGGGACTAGAACAAACATCTCAACCCACTTGTCTCACGTTAGCTTTTGATTTATAGCTGTGAATGTTGGTGTCCACCAGGCTGTAGGAGAAGGTGCTGGGCTATTGAG